CTTCGCTAACGGTGAAGACACTTTTATCAAAACTATGACCTTAAGTTTGGTTTGTGATTCCAGTGGCTCTAAAGACTGCCTCGGGATTTAAGTTGCACTGTTCTGACCCTATATTAATGTGGGGTATATATCTGCTATCTGCTTGCATAAGTTGACCAAGCAATCTTCTCTTCCAAATTTCTTCCTCACAAACTTTTGCCGCAAACCTTTGAGCATTCGACTCCACTGCATTCGTGCAATTCCTCGAATTCGTAGTCGTCCATGTCACACTCAGTAAGTACGTCACCCACGAAGCTCGTCCATACCGTCACACAAGAAAGTGATTTTTTTATAGCTTTTGATAGCTTTCAAAAGTGAGTTGTGAAAGGAATGGTCTCATTTCTGCTTCTTAAGGCTAAGATTGTGTATTTAAAAACACGAAAACAGGCCCTCAGGTCAACATTAATATGCATGACCTCTATAAACTTGTGAGACCTCTACACCAAATTTAAGTGGATTACTGTAATCCTCGAAATTCAGCTCAGTGAAGCATTCTGAGCATTCGTAATCGTGCTCATTAACAATTGTGTTGCATTGTTTCACACCGTCTCCAATTTGTCGTTCTCTCCGCCTCTCCATTCTCTTTATTGATGGAAACCTCTGAAATGTTAGACGGATATGGTGAGTGATACACGTGATGTTCATAGTAGAAGCTGAGAGAAAAGTGATGTGAGAGAGCCGTCTCGTTCGGACTTTGAAAAAATTTTGTTCGTTTTGTGCAAAGCGGAAGCTCAACGACAACAGTGCCAACAAGTCATTGTCTTTGGCAAGCTTCAGGATTGTGCCCACGATGAAACTTAAAATACGGAATAAGACAACTGAACACACTGCTATTCAACAGAACATATCAGAATCAGATGATGGAGTCATTAGGGTTGAACATTGTGTGACTGACTGAGTTCATTATTCGGTGAACGGGAATGGATAGCTGGCCGGTCGACTGGAAGCGGAGGGCAATGCGCACTGGGTTGGATCACGTTAGTAACGAGATATATAATGAGAGGTAAGAGGGAAGTGCTTTATGAGGCATTACTGGAATGATTGCTTACTCAATATTCAGTTGTGATTCAGTTGAATATCAACAGATATTTGATTGAGCACAAGTAATCCCTAGTGATTAGATGAATGAGTGTGACTGAGCAGTCTAATGCCTGATAATTAGGTGTTGACTAGGCCTGAACCTAATGATTAAGTGAAATGAGATGTAAACGAAGGAACATCTGCCGAATAACAACATGAAGAATTTTTCGCATAATTTTTGCATTGAGAAAAGGCGTTCATGTTGTGCGTAATTAGAGAGAAGGTAGGAGAACATCCATTCTCAAGAAGAAGTTTTCAATATGAACATTCGCAAAAATATATGAGTCAATAGACTAGTGCTGAAAGTTTTTGAATGGATGAGAAGTGAAGTTGTAGATCGAGGAAATGATGTCAATAAAATGAGTGTTTGCAATGCATTCGAAATGAATTCGATAAAGTCTCTAAGAGCTTCAAATTATGTTGATGGCCATCAACTTCGATAAAGCCAGTCAGTGATGTGCGGTGCTGTAATGAAGATTTCAGGTTTGCAGCGAAATGTTTCCGAATGTTAATGGCATTCTTTGAGCGATTCGAAAAAAATGATTTTGTTTAGTAGCAATTGTTCATTTTTTTCAATTGTTAGTTGTCTTCCACAAACGCAGAGGAAACGATCAGGTATGAATGAGTGAATAGCAGTCTTCTCATGCTTAAAGATTCTTTACATCAATGAGAGTTGGTTGATTCACTGAAACGAATCAGGATGTGGGAAAAATCATCCCAGTAGATAAAAAACTGGCACGGCCAAATCATTGAATTGAACAGCTGACAGTAATTCATTCCGATCAGGTAACTTAGAACCAGTGAGAACAGATTTGCACTGAGACTCATTTTACGAAGCTTCGCTTTGAGGGTACCCGATACTCACCGCATTTTCCAGCTTACTTTATCATACTAAGAGCAACATTTTTGGATGAGTACAATATTACTTCAGTGTCATTTGCATGAAGTAACTTCGTTCGAATATCTAATAAACT